AGGCTTAAGGAATAATAATGGCAATCACCTGTGCTGATTTAAGCTTCTATATGACACCAAAACCTGCCAAAATCCCTTTACCTCAGCCCCCAAGCTCATCTTCGAGACCTCCGATTCAAGCGTGCAGTGCGCGTTCCGACCTGGGACACTGATCCAGAAGTCTAGTTCTAGGGACTCAAAGCCTCATCACCAGTGTGACCATCATCACCAGCAGAAGTTACAGCAGAAGCATAGTCAAGGTCGTCGTCAGAATCATCACTCACAGTTGCTTTCATCGCCACCGTCACCAGCATCACAATCGTGCTCAAGATGCTTGCTTCACCTCACTTGTCGCAGCCGCTGGTCGAAACCTTAGCCTTAGACATGTGCAAGGAAAACAACTGCTTCCGAGCAATGCCTGGTGACAGTTCCGCCTTTCAGGCTGTGAAGCTTCTCCCCCAGCATCCTGGTAATGTGGTTGACGTCGGTGAAGAGGAGCTTGGCCGCAGACTGTGTTGAAGATGACAGCTCGTTGAAACCCTTCACCACCCCGTCATCGAGGAGCTGGCTCATTTCGGGCATGGCTTCATCATGAAGCAAGCTGAAGGGGTCATGAGCTTTCATCAGTGAGTCCACCTTCGCTTGAGCATTTGGGCTCATCGTTTTGGCTACCAGCTGCGAGACATTACCGGTAAAGGTCTCGCACATGTCCTTGGCTGCCCTCCAAAAAGTGAAGCTTTTAGCCTCCTTATTATGGTCCGTATAGAAACCCAAGAAGTTAAAGTCCTAAGAGCCAACCAGAAGAACGCCAAGTGTCGTCCATGCGCCGCAGCATCTGTAGGGCAGATTGCATCTGCTGCGCAATCCTGCGGGCTCCGGGCTCATCAGAGAGCCCAATACCCCTTAATTAAGGAATATGGCTTAAATCATAATATGAACCCCTATATAATTTAAGCCATATTCCTTAATTAAGGGGTATTGGGCTCTCTGGGTCATCAACACCCCAATTAAACTAAATTCCGCAGCCGCTTTACATTTCTTGCTGTCCACACATGCTCACTGATGTAGGAACCTGATTAGAAACCTTGGGTCTTTAATATGATTCTTAAAAAATATGGATCCTTATATTTTGGGGTTATAGGACCAAGGTTTCGTAATCAGGCTCTTACATTCACGGCTTCGGCTCAACTCCGCCCCAAGCAGGAGCTTCGGAAAAATGGTTCAGTTCCCAGGCTCGACGACTATTTGAGGATGCAGCTTCTGATTACCCAGAGGCCCCATAGTAGTTCCTGTTTGGGATTACCTTATAGGATTGGATTCTATATATGAAGCCCCAAAAAAGGAACTACTTTGGGGTTTCTGATTAATGTTATACGACCGCTTTGCATTCTTCGGGCGCTAGACGCTACCCAGTCTTTGCATGCCTTCTTGCATCGTAAGCTCTCGCAACTACGTCACAGATGCAAGAGCCCACAACCATGCGGGACCCATCAGTATTGTTTAGAATTCGGGAGTTTCCGAAAACAGGGGACCCTACAATAGTACCCTAAATAGTAGGATCCTTATTATAAGGACCCCAAAATAAGGTACTCCCTATCTTCGGAAACTCCCATTTGGTTCAGGGCTTCAAAGTCTCGGGTCCCTTCCAGCCGATCCGTCGCATTGGTGATCCGGTATACTGCCTTCGCACAGGGCTTCTTCTAAGTTTGGACTCAATGCCTTCCTGTTCAGGGAGGAGGTTCCGGCCAAGGTGGAGATCGTAGCTGAACTTGCGGCTGCTCGAAGGGAGCGCCCTACCGAAACCAGGTTTCGACATAATTCGACTTCGGCGGCGCCTGTGCATGTACCCTAAGACTCCAATATCCCTTAGCTACGGAATATAGCTTAAATTATAGTAGGATCCCTTATATGATTTAAGGTATATTCCTTCGTTAAGGGATAGTGGAGTCTCTGGGTAGCCCGGCCGTAGGTTCAGGGTTTAAGATGATGCTCCGAGCATACATGGGTGGTTGTCAAAATTATGGTCCCTTTTTGGGTCCTTAAAACAAAACAGCACCCAATATTTAAGGTACCCCAAAAAGGGATCCTAGTTTTGACAACTACCCAAGTTTTTGTCGACCAGGCACCTGTTGCGTTCTCGCCGGTAGGTGAGGCGCCAACAACCTGCGGAGATGAAAGAAGGAGCACAACTTGTGCAATCAAGGGCTCTTGAAGAAAAGAGTATGTGAATATAACCGAGCGGTGTATAAGGAATCCATATTATATGCAAAGTATAGAAGTATCTCGCATCCGTGTGAGCTTGATCTTAATTAACACCTCTAATTTTCCTAAACCTCTACATCCCTGAACCAGCTCAACCCTGGAACTATACCACCTAATCTAGGCGCCTCAACAACTAGAATAGGGTTGTGGGCTCCTCCTTGGGCTCCTTCAAAGTAGAGTCATAATAAGGAGCCCTAATGAAAAATATTGGTAGCTATTTAAGCTTCTATAGTATACCAGTAAAAGACGTTTGGTCAATGGAATTGGTTTAGGATTTAGGGTTTAGGGTGCTAAGCCCTCTTACCCCAAAGTAAGTCTGAAGGCGAGTTCTGAACTTCGCTGAGACGCTGCGCGCCCGCATCAAACCGCCGCATTGAGCTCGTTGCCGAAGCGATATACCTGAAGGATCAAAGGAATCTCAAAAAGGGTTTATGGTTCATAGAATACAAGCCACATGATGCAAGGTTGATGCTTGAGAAGATGGGCCTTATAAGGTACTTCCAAACGTCCGCTTTTTGTTTACACAGTATCGGGTTTACATCCCATGAAGGCCTAACGGGTAACGTATAATGTGTGTCGAATCTTTCACTTTCGGTTCATGGTTTGGTCTGAGCTTACGTTATAATAGGATCTACTCTTCCTCTAGGGTTAGGGTTTGCCTCCGCTTTTAAAGACCTCTTGACACACCCACTTGGGCATGGTGCCCGGTGCATCCCGGGGCCTCGACCCTACTTCCGAACAGATATGGGGGTTTCCGAAAATTACGGGTACCCTTATTTTGGGGGGTCCTTATAATATGGATCCTACTATTTAGGGTACCATATGAGGGTCTCCTTTTTTCGGAAACCCCCATATCCCTCTTAGTTTTCACGAGCCTGACTCGCACCAAGGGTAAAATCAGATGACGCCCTAAGCCACCCCTTTTGCAGCTGGAAACCCCTGAAAATTGGTAATATAGGGGCCTTTATGATTAGAGTAGGGTTTTGGGGTCCAGTATACTATAATTATAATAAGGAACCCCCCCAAAATAGTATAGATAATAATTAAGGCCCCTATATTAACCCAGCCCAAAGCAAACAGTCCTCTGCGGCAAAGCGACTTCGAGATCTTCTCCCAGGGCATGGACTTTATTCCTGAGTCCGCGTTGAAGGGTCTCTGGAGGTTTAGGGTTTACCTGGACCCCAACAGTATGTAGAATAATGTCCTTTTATAGGTCTTGGGCAATTATTTTACCTACTTTTGGGGGTCTAGGTAGGGCTTAGTTTAGTTTTAGGGCTTAGGGTTCAGTTGAGGGCATCCAGGACGAAGGTTTGGAACTCAAAAACCCCAAGGTCTATACATCAAATAGGACGTAGCATGTTCTTTTGGGTGGCCATCGACACATCGCCTATCTCCCAGGATTTCGCGCTTCTTGAAGCTGATAGCATACTTTTGTTGCACTGGGCCGAGGCCTTAGGGGGCCCCGCGTCCGATTCATCTTAGCGGACTGCCGTTCAACGAGTTTAATATAAGGACCTTAAGAATTAAAATAGGATTCTAGGGTATATTGAATTATACTGTAAGTATAATAAGGAACCCCCCCAAACTAGTATGGCTAATTATTTAGGCACCTATAGTAGTTCAAGCGGAAAAACCAGAAGCAAGTTGGCCAGCCGCAACCTCCAGCTGCAAAGAACCATCGCCACGGAAAACCGGTTTAGAATCTACGGATTTGCAGTTCAAGATTTCGACTCTCTATAGAACATCAATCTATGTACGTAGTCTGTTTAGGCTAGGAGGCTTCAGGGATTGAGATTGAAGCTTTGTTGTTCCATTGGGGCTGTTTCGCACTGCTTTTTGTGGTTCTGCGGGTCCTTGTCTTGATAGGGGGCCTGATGGAAGCGAACGAAGAACACATCCGAACCTGGACCGCACTATCCAAAAACATGCACATGCGCATATTCTGTGCCCATATGTTGGTTTCCGACAATATGGGACCCCAATATAGCACCCTACATAGTAGGATCCTTGCTATAAGGTTTCAGAAACTCCCCGGTTGAGCAGAGAGGCTCTCTTCGACATCAAGCAGTATTCGTGAGGCCACATAGAGCATCAGCATCAGCTTCTTGTAAACTCCCTGCGCAGTACCCTGCAGAATCTCTCCAGATTGAGCCAGTTGAACCAGGTCTCGTGCCTTGGTTTCAATCACCTCACAGCCATCGATCATGTTGTCGATCTCCCTGGGAAGCTGATGACGGAAGTCCCCAGCCGATGCTCTCAGTGCATGCTTCAAGGCATGTAAGGCCTCGGACGTGAAGTTCGAAAGGCTCACAGTTCTTTCGCCTGACACAGCTACGCGATGCGAAAGGTCCAGACAGCCAAAGAAGCCAAGTGCGATAGTGATGATAATCAATGCAGTCACCACAAGGGTGCATAAATCAAGCCACTGTAAGGGACGCCCGCTCTTCTCGTCGTTGTCTGACTCGTCGTCAGAGTCAGACTCATCTTCGAAGCGCTGTGCTATTTCCGGCGACAGAATCCGCATGGCGCCAGGCGATGCGGAGCAGGCAGTGCTTACGTCGAGCGTCCTCGAGCCATAAGCTGGGTTCATCGCTCATGTAGGCAGGCAGCGGGTCTCGGCCAAGCTCTCACAAGCGTAATGCTGCAATTCCCCCCCCCATATTCCAGATCGAATTACAACCATCGGCCCCCTTGACCCAAAGCTATTCCAAGAACTCCGCTCCACTGCAGCGACGCCGCACTTTTTGCGTCACCATGCCTTATTCGGCGCTAGAGTCGGGGAGAAAGTATCGCACGTGACCCTCAGCCAGAGCTTGGTCCAGGGTCTCGGGGCTATAACCTTGGCAGGGCTTCCCAATAGAATAGGGTTTTGGGGCCCAGTAAATATACGCATAAATATATATATATATATATATATATATATATATATATTTATGCGTATATATATATATAATTGTAAAAAGGAGCCCCCCCGAAATAGTATAGGTAATTTCTAAGGCCCCTAAATTTAACACCCCCAACAACCCCTGCTCCCAGAAAGCCCCAAATTCCTACATGCCCTGAAAGCTATACTCAAAACCAAAGATTCATGACTGCTTCCGAAAGGACTCTTCCCGCAATGAAAGATCAGCTGAAAATCAGAAGTTGAATCGGCATTGGGACATGCCAGGACTTGTACATAGAGGTCACCTGGGCTGCGTCTTCGAAAAGGAATTTGTAGGGTTTAGGGATGTCACTTGGGATCTTCTGGTAAGGGTTTTATGAGGGTTTTTGATTCATGTAGGCATGGAGAAGTGATTCTATGTGATTCTTTGAACTACGAAGCTTAGATTACTGTACAAGGCATGCAAAGCTTCCGGGGCAACTTTTCTTTATGCCCCAGGAAGAGCCCAGCCACTCTCCTCCATCAGCTGCTGCAGTGGGACAGAAAGTGTAAACGAATAGTGGTATGCATGCCAGTTCGACATGTTCACACCACAACGGCGACTCCATAGCACCATCACTTCTTCCTTGGACGAGCTTAGGGCATATGACTTCACGGCTTTCGGGTGTTGGGGTTTCGGGGTTTGGGCCTTGCAAGTTATCAGGATGGCTTAGGTGCCCAGACCACTTTTCGACAAGCAGACACCAGCTTCTTTCTCATAGCACCCTCTGTACTTTGGGGCCAGCCCGAACACTTGAAGAAAAGCACTCGATGCTGAACAAAACTAAACCCGATAGATACCTCATGCCCCGCAACCCTAAACCCTTCACCGACACCCAAAAGCTTGACAGCCGAAGGCAAGCAGCAAGCAAGCCTGGGCTCGCACTGGGCTTCAGGCAACGCCACGCATCGACATCGCTGGCCCGTGGCTGCACAACGAAAAACTCAGTATGCTCCGATTTGTCCAGGTCTATGGCGGTCCTCCATTCAGCCAGAACTCTTTGTACTACTCAATTACTACACCAAAAGGTCCAAAGTACCTGCATGGTGGAACGTAGGGTTTCTGCACCAGGAAGTACGAGTATGATTTGGGGAAGTATTCCCCATAACAGTGCCCAGAACCCTCTGAACCCTGAAGCGACTTCCCACACTACCGGGCCCAGCAAGCCTAAACACGAAGTGTGCCAGAGAAACAAAGAGACATGCGGTTGATGATATAAACCCTGCATTTCCTTAAGGATGCCAAACTATGGGGATGATGGTATATTCCTTACTTTGGGTAATGCAGGATTTATATCATCAACAGCAGTACGAGTATACCCAAGACAACGACGAGTGCGACGACCAGGGATTACAAATACAGATAAAGAGTTGTATAGTGGTAATCTTCTTCGTCGCTATGCTCAAGATATCCAATAGCAACCATGGCAATGCGGCATGGACGATAGTTGCAATGCACAAAGTAACTAACTGCTTGCGTAGTATCAGTCAAGGAAGGCTGGAACACAACGACAAATTCACACGGCCTGCTGCCGAAACAGGGGCAGAGACTCTTGATTGCAATATTGCCAGCACATGTCCTACGCAAAAGAAGCTGCAGCTCGAGTAACCAAACTGGCGCCGCCGCCATCAGCACCGTCATCATGAGCTGCTATACAACTATACTAGGTGACTGGGCACCACATTGGCCAACACAGTTCTGGTGCTGACTTTCGACAAGAGGTGTTCAATGCTTGAATACTCATTTGAAGTCCATATTCATGCTTGTGGTCGGAATACTTGCCTTGATTAACAAAACGAAAAAGGAACCTGTGTTTGCTGGCACACAATCCCAGCCCCTGCTGAAAAGCGTCATGACCCTGAACCCCCCTCCACCAAAAACAAACCTAAGCACTTGAGAATCTACTACAAGCCAACCGGACAGCAAACATCTGAGCGGCTCGGCTGTATGGTGCTTTTTGGACCCAGTCTGCAACATGGTTCTGTACTGTGGTTCCTTAACGGGACTGTATCATAGGGTTCTGTAGTAGGGTTCCTCAATGGTTCTTGACCTCAATTCTCTATCACAGGGTGTTATAACCAGCTTCATAGGCTCAACTAACTAATGAACAGCCTGATCTTCGAGAATAATCCGGTTCCATAATCTGGCTCTTCAACCGGGCTTTTAAACAACGTTCTCTAATGGGGGTCTTTGCTAGGGTCCCATATACCTTCCTCACACCCCAACCCCTACGCCCTAAGCCCTAAACCCTAAGCCCTGAGCCCTAAACCCAAAGCCCTAAGCCCTAAACCCTAATCCCTAAACCCTAAGCCTAAACCCTAACCCCTACACCCTAATTAAACCCTAAGCCCTAAACCCTTAAACCCCCAAACCAGAACCCCTCAAACCCGAACCCCTAAACATCCCTAAGCCCGAATCCCTAAGCCGCACCCTCAGGCTCCTGGACCCTCGAAGTGAAAGTTAGCCTCCAAAGCCCAAACTCTCGCCCACAAAGCCCAAGACCCTCTTTGGAGCCTTAGAGCAATCCCTACTCAGAGACTCCAAGACCTCGGAATTGAGGAATATACCTTAAATTATAGTAGGATCCTTAATATGATTTAAGGAATATTCCTTAATTAAGGGGTATTGGAGTCTCTGGGTAAGCCCCAAGGCCGATCGGACCAGTCCTGGTAGGACTCCGGAGGTCGGCGAGAGGAAGACCCGGCTCGGCTTGGATCTTCCTTGCTTTGGAGCTAAACGGGTTTTTTTGACACTCACACTCGGACAAGCCTGGCAAGGTCTGCAGATGTAGGTTCGACGTGTCACATTAACTCTGTAAGCCGATTCTCTGACAGCGCTAAACGGGTTTAGGGCCTCTTTGTTTTAAAGGGTTTAGGGCTTCTTTCTTTTTAAACGGGTTTAGGATTCTTTTTTTAAAACTGGTTTAGGGTTTCTTTTTTGAAACGGGTTTGGTTTAAAAAAACTGGTTTAAGGTTTCTTTTTTGTAAACGGGTTTAGGGTTTCTTTTTTAAACAAAGGTTTACGCTCTCGCAACTCGGACAAGCCTGACGAGGTCTCTGGTGCTGTGTGCTTTGACGGTCGGGTCTACATGCTGTCTTCCAGCAAAGGTTTAGGGTTCAGGGTGTAGGGGTTTGGGGATTCAGGGTTTAGGATTTAGGGTTTATGTTTTCGTCAAGCACCCCTTGTCCCATCCGCACCGTCAGCAGCCGGGGTTTAAGGTTTGGTTTCCCCGTCCTACCTAGCAAGGACGCGTTTAGGGTTTAAGGGTTTAGGGGTTCCTGGTAGGCCTCAAACCTACCGCTTAGGAGCTCCTTCTGACGATTTCCTGACACCCTAAACCTTCTACACGATTTACCCTTTTGCTGCAGGCTTGCACGCAAGGACGCCTGGTACCCAGAGACTCCAATACCCCTTAATTAAGGAATATTCCTTAAATCATGTTAAGGATCCTACTATAATTTAAGCTATATTCCTCAATTAAGGGGTATTGGAGTCTCTGGGTAGTTTGCCGCTCTTCCGCCAGTTAGGACTGTGCTCGTGACACGATTTACCCTGAAGCCTAAACCTGAACAGTCAGCAGAAGGGTTTAAGGGTTAAAGTGGGGTTTGGGGCCTAAGGGTGTTCCTGAAGCCCAGATAAGGAATAGAATATAGTAGAACAGCACGTCGAGTTTACAGGCTTTGGCATGAAGGGCTAACGATTAAGGGGTTGGAGGTTTGGGGGTTTAAGGGAATAGGGATACACCCTAAACCCTAAACCCCAAACCCCCTACCAAGAAAGGAACAACAACAAAAGGGCAGTACTGGCAGACCTTGCTTCGTCGTCTGGAAGGTGGAGAGAAGAGTCGGGACGGCCAGAATGCCGTAGCCAATCAACATAGAGCAGGCCTCGGTGAGGATTTTGCCTTTGGGGTCGGTAGGTTTCCTATGGTTTACATTGGGGAGGCTGTGTGGGATTCCACTCTAGTTGGGATTTGTGTCGGGGTCATCTATTTCCTGAAGCTTTCTGGCCATGGCAGAGATACGAACATGAGGATCTTGCGGCTTAAGCTCTGAACCCTGATATAGGTTCTTAATTGTTAGAATAGGAAATCGGTGCCCATTATACCACAAACATGACAAGGAGCCCCCCAATTAGCATTGGTACCAATATTTAGGCCCTTATATTTATATTAAACATCCCTAAACTTAAAAACCCAAGGGCTTGGCACGTCTGGGTTCCAAAGCTTCAAGACTTTGGGCTGCCAGTTTCAAGACTTTGGGCTGCCACTGTTCAGTCAGAAAGAGAGGGAATGCCCACAAAGAAGCAGTGCCGTGATACACTACAGACATAGCCCTTCTGAACAGAAAGGGAAGAAGGGCAGCAGAAGTAGTAGCGGCAGTGGCAGTCGTCGCCGTAGTTGTAGTCGTAGTCGTAGCAGTAGCAGCGGCAGGCTTGAACACCAGGACTGTCGACTTAGGCACGAAGAAACAAATTGACAAGCGGCCGCAAACAATTTGCCCAGGGAAGTCTGTGGGACGACGTCGCCATAACCGACAGTTGTCAAGGTCACCGTGGCCCACCACATTCCTTGGCCGCCTTTAGAACCAGAATAAAAAGAATGTGCTTACTAACCCCCTGAAGTTTAAATATATTACTGTAGTTTATCCATAGGCCCTGTAGTAGTTCCTCTTTGGGGTTCATATTTGGAGTTCTATATAAGGTATCCCCCAAAAAGGAACTACTATCGGGCCTATGGGTAAAGATAAGACATAACTTCTGAGAGCAGTGAAGATTCCATGTGGATCAACATATTAGTTTGAAGATAATGCCTTAATAATTCCTAGCCCTAAGCCCTAAAGCTGCTAAGAGCAGTGAAGGTTCCATGTGGAATCGATTCGAAGCCGTTGGCACCATCTTCGGCTGCATAGAGGCAGGTCCCTAGCATCAGCACCTCGGCGGGGAAACCCTACCGGTTCTGGGCTTTAGGGCTTTAGGGGTTTAGTGTTTAGGGCTTTGGGGTTTAGGGGTTTAGGGTTTAGGGGTTTAGAGGTTTAGGGTTTAGGGGTTTAGGGGTTAGGGGTTTAGGGGTTGGGCTTAGGGTTCAGGGCTTTGATCTCTCCCCCCCTGAACGGAACAGCCAGACTGGTGAGCATGGACATCAGGGGCACGATGACCAGGATTCCGAAGAGGAATACGTTGATGAAGCGGAACTCGTTGCTCAGGGCATGCGACAGTTGCCGACACTCCCGGATGTAGTGCATGAGCTTCCTGGGTTGAAATTTTAATTACTCGCCCCCGCCTTTTTCCAGATGAGTAGTTGCCTGCACACGAAATCCTAAACCAGGTACCTCTCCAGCACCCACAAGCAAAGCACAAAAAGGCTGCCCAAACTGCCACCGAAAGTCAGCAGCCGGAGCATCCGCAAGCACACGAGGGGCTGGCAAAGGTCAGCGTCCTCGCCGGGTCCGACCAGGTCGCCTTGGCTCCAGGTTTAGGGGTTTCGGGTTACGGGTTTAGGGTTTAGGGGTTTAGGGTTTAGGGGTTTGGGATTTAAGGGCTTTCTCCATTTAGGGGTTTAGGGTTTAGGGCCTTTCGGGCCTTTAGGGTTCAAATTTAAGGCTGAGGGTTTTATCCCTCTGAGCTCATGCATCAGTGCCAGACAGGCAGAGGAGAAGGGTTTAGGATGGCTTAGGGTTTATAGGCCTTTGGGGGGTCTACGTCTTAAGGGTTTGGAGTTTAGGGCTTAAGGCTTAAGGTTTAAATAGGGATTCAGATTTAAGGATTCAGGTTTAGGGTCTAGTGCTCAGACAGCGGTCACGCAACCACTAGGTTGCCCCAAATATCCCCTGGCAATAATCAAAGCAAGCGAACCAGAAAGCTAAATTCTAAGTGCCAAGGCCTCAGTGGCTGAGCACTTATAGCGTTTCCGTGGAGGGCTTTCGGAGTGGGGTTAGAGCTCTCGGGCTCCGGGCGTTTTTTGGGCTTTTGGGATTTTGGGGAAGTCGGGGCCCTGCCATGGCAAAAGCCTAGATTTTTCGGCGTGACAAGCACCGAACCCTTAAAGCCCTAATCTAAACCTTAACCCCACGTAACCTACCTTTTTAAGGACTTATATAAAGAAATCATATTAGGGAACCCTAAAAATGTAGGTTCCGTAGGGTCCAGGAAGGGTTAGGGCCCAAGGTGTAAGAGTTCAGGGTTTCGGGTGCAGGGTATAAGGCTAATTCACGGGGTGGGACCCTTCTTGAAGGACTCTTAGGAGGAAGTCCGAAGAAGGAGCCCAACAAGGCTAGTGCTGGGTTGTTTGGGGTTCAGGTGAACCATGTTTTTTTGGGTAGTTTCCGAAAAATTATGGGTACCTTACTTGGATCCTTTTTATGAGTATCCTCCTCTTTGAAGGGTACCATATCAGGGTCCCTGAATTTTCGGAAACCCCTATATGGGTAGTTGTCAAAATTAGGGTTCCTTTTTGGGTACCCCAAATATTAGGTGCAGTATTATAATAAGGACCCAAAAAGGGACCCTATTTTTGACAACCACCTATATGGGCTTTCCGAAAATAGGGGACCCTAATTATAGCACCCCAAATAGTAGGATCCTTATTATAAGGACCCCTGGATAAGGTACCCCTATTTTCGGAAACCCCCAAATGGACCCTAACCCTAAACCTTAAACCCTAAACCCCAAAAAGGGACCCTAAACCCTAAACCTTAAACCCTAAACCCCAAAAGGGACCCTAACTTTGACAACCACCCATATGAAGACCAGGGAGCGATAGCGCGTGACAATGGCCGCGACAGAAGAAGCCTCACAGGCTCTTCCCTCCCGATCTCCCGGTTTAATATAGAAAAAAAGAAAAAGACAGAAAATACAAAAGAAACAACAAATAATAAAAACAAGAAGAAACATAGGGGCCTTACTACTTAGAATAGGGTTCCTTTAAAGGGTTCCTTTAATTGAGAGCTACTATACGGGCATAGTATAGGGGCCTTCTTCTGCGCTGGGCACAGGGGCCTTAAGAACTAGGATAGGGTTCCTATATAAGGGCTACTGTAAGGGTGGTATAATATAGGGGCCTTAAAAAATCAGAATGGGGTTTTGGGGGTGAAGCGGACTGAATGTCGGGGCGAGCAAAGAGAAACAGACTGACAGGTGCACCCTCTTGAACAAGAACTCTGTTTTGGGGTCCATTATAATATAACTATAGTGAGGACCCCCCTCCAAAAAAGATAGTACTGGTAATTAACTAGGCCCCTATATTAGGGTTTAGGGGCTTCGCCTGTTGTCTCCGATCTAAAGCAAGTATACTACGCTCCTGGGCGCAAATTGTCCCCGGCACCTTGGGTTCGTGGCAAGATGCAGCTTTCAGACGTTTCGGTGCTTCCTCATCTTGGTGCTTCCTGTTCTTGCCTTTCCTGTTCTGCAAGCCTTGCCTTGACCCTAAACTGGCCCTAAACCCTATACCCTAAGCCCTGTGAGATTTGGATGAGGTGGACGATAGCTCCCTGAGCTGGCCGGAGTTAATGCGCCATGCTGGTGTTGCGACAGTACTCTCTGCGCCAGTGAAGCCTTCCCCGTTCCCAAGCATCCGGAACCTGGCACTGAAAAGTCATGTTGCCGGAGCAGAATCTTGTTTCAATCATTTTGGGGGAAGTTTTCCCACTGCAAAAACCCAAATGAGACCCTTCTTGTGTAACTTAGCAGTCCCACAATGTTGCATATCTGCCCATCGATCTGCTTGCAGGTTGGCATCGTTTCCCTGGTCCCGAGGTTCGTGCGTATTCGTGGCGAGTGAATATGGGTGGTTGTCAAAATTATGATCACTTTCTGGGTCCCTATTATAATACGGCACCTAATATCTAGGGTACCCAAAAAGGGGCCCTAATTTTGACAACTACCCATATCCCAACTGGAAGATTACATCGGTTTGTGAAGGTTTTCCCACTATGTGTGCTCGCGCAACGGACTTCCGCAGTGGGAGGATTCGGCACGATGGCAGCGCCTACCACGGTGGATGATATAAATCCTGCATTACCCTAAGGACCCTAAGCTATGGGAATTTGGTATATTCCTTCTTATATGGGTAATGCAGGATATTGTCCATCCACCGTATGGGGCCCTGAAGGCTCCAATGTACCTCATAGTACCTAGAGAGGCTCATACCCTACCCCTTGCTTAGGATACCTGGGTTTATGGGTAGGATCTGTTATCATCAACAGTACTTCAAATCCCTCCGCCAGGCTGTGACAGGCCACTCCACCTGTCACAAGGTAATCCGGTAACGTATAGTACATTTGGTGTAGTATGGTATACCCCAAACCCTGAATCGTATAGCTTTGTCTTTCTATCGTAAGGTACACTACAGCATATAATGTGACAAAAATTGGTATAGTTTTCTGCAAGTGGGTAGTTGTCAGAATTGGGGTCCCTTTTTGTGTACCCAAAATATTAGGTTTCGTATTATAATAAGGACCCAAAAAAGGGACCATCATTTTGACAACCACCCAAGTATAGCAAAGAAGCAGCGACAACGAAGTCGACAAGGCCAAGCGCAGAGAAGGCGTAAGAAAACCGCCGGCTACCCGATCCGAGAACTCGCAGAAGATACTCCTTGGGGTTTAGGGTTTAAGGTTTAGGGCGTTTAGTTTGATTTAGTGTCGGCTTTGGGGTTTTGGGTTTAGGGTCATAAGTTGTACGGTTTCGGGCTCTGGGGTCATCGGACGATAAGGCTTTTTGGATTTAGTTTAAGCTCTCGCAACTCGGACACAGCCTGACGAGGTCCCTCGGTTCGTGGTAAGATTCTCATTTCGTAGCTTGGGCTTCACGGTGTAAGGTTTAGGGTTCTATGTAGGGGCTTCTAGGATGTTAAGGTTTAGGGTGCTAGGGGTTTCTAGGATGTTAGAGGATGTTCAGGGATTATAGGAGATACTCATTGTGGGGCTTAGCTTCGAGAGGAATACATAGGGTTATAGGACGCTGTACGATGCTATCGAGTTATGGCGTTGTGCGGATATAGCACTTAGGGATAGGATTCCAGGTTTTAGGGCTCTATATAAGCTCTAGTAAGGGTTTACGGTGTAGAGGATTCTTGGATTTAGGTTAGTAATGTTAGGTTAGAAACCTAAGGTTTACATAGTATTGTGGGGTTCACGGTTGAGGCAAGTGGGTTTAGGGTTTACGCGACGGTGTAGGGTTGATGAATCCGGGGTGATGCGTTCAAGGTGCGGGCTCGCAACATCGCTTTATTGAGAGGTGGTGGTGTTGCCACAATAATGGCTCTACTGCTTCTGATGCTCTTCTTGCCGTTGCTGCGCAAGAAAAACCTACAACATGCCTCTTTCATCTAACCCGAGGTTCGACGATGAAGAAGGCTGCGCAGGCAATCTCCACCACATCGTACATCCGCGTGTAGGAGGAATGGGACCGGACCTTCATGCCATAGGCATCTAGCTAAGGTACGACTAAGACGGCGACGACGACGAGTACTACTACTACTACTACTACTACTACTACTACTACTACTACTACTACTACTCCTACTACTACTACTACTACTACCACTACTACTACTACTGCTGCTACTACTACTACTACTACTACTACTACCACTACTACCACTACTGCTACTCGTTCTCACCCTGCGGCATTCTTTATAGAATCTTGGTTTGCGTCCGGGATGTCGAAGCCTCAAAGACCTCATTCTATGTCTTGTTGGCTTTGCAGGGTCGTTTGCCTCATCAACCAAGAATGCCCTGAGCCCCCGGAACTGTGGAGAGTTCGTGGTGCTGGTTTTCCTGCAGCAGCGCTTGCTTCCAGGGCTCATGCCCAGCGCTAGCGCTGCTACTTACTGGTACTGATGACAAGGGTCGTGCAAAAGATAGTGCAGAGCAATGCAGCCTCAAAGTCTGCGTGTTTAGGGCCGGCACAAGCTCGAACACCTACAGTCTCGCCTGGAAGTGCTGTACCATTTCGTGTTGGCTATCCTGAACCTGGATCTCACGCTGCACGCCCGCATTAAACCCCAAATCTTCACCTTTCTTGAACACAAGTTCTGCCTTGAACCTAACTACCCACTACCCCGACCTGTCAAGCACTCCTCGAACAGCCTTGGCGGAAATGCGAATCCCCAAAGTAATAAGCTCAGATGAACTCGGTGACGCATGGGGTCGAACACCTTCAGAAAAGGCTTATCAATAATCAAGGTTCCATAAGTTACACGGTTTTAAAAGGTAAAGTTTTGGAGTTTCTTTACTATACAGAGCTGTGCTAAATTGAGTAACCCTAAGAAAGACACACCCTCTTGTTGGCTCTGAATCCTCACGCCAAAGCCCGCCTCCGGCAAAGACATGACCACCGTCAGTATCACGCTGATTACGACCTCAACATGCTGCACCCTGGTCAGAGGGCTCAGGGTTTAGGGCATGTCAGTATAGTCGTGTGCTGCAATATGCCCAAGTGTAGTTGCCAAGGTCTGTTCAGAGGTCTCCCTCACCCCGACCCGAAACCCCAAAACCCTAAACCGCTAAACCTTAAACCCATAACCCTAAACCCTGAACCCTAAACCCCTAAACCTTAAACCCATAACCCTAAACAGCGGCTGAGGGCTCTCTTGCTTGGGGCTCCTCAAGCCGCGGCTTCGGGGAGGCCTCGGAACTAATGTCTATCGGAGGCTTCCGCTGCAATCCTCGTCGTCACCGTTGTCGCTGTCGCCGTCGACGTACTACCGTACTAGTTGTATCTGTAGTGGAAGAGCGGTCATCTCGGCTTTCGTGGAAGGCTGAGTCCTGCGATCAGAAGATGAAACACTAAGTACACCGAGCAACGATGCAGATGGAGAGGAGGTTTAACGTGAGCCAGAACTTTCGGTTCACAAACTCTTGCGACTGCTCCGTGTGATGGAGGTCATCTGGCGAAGCCAAACTCACCTTAGAGGAGATGACCCCAGCTTTCGAACAGGACATTGCAGTTTCGATGCTGCTGATCCCATGTGGGCATTGTGTGCAACCCTATCTAGATCCAGAGCTGCGCACGGCGAGCTTCAACGCATCAACCTAGTCCGGAGACCCTCAGATATCCTGTCGAAGCCCGCAAAACTCCAATCTTGATCTTGCTTCTTTAGGGCCCCAAAAAAGCACATAAGCAAAACATAGGATAGGGATATCCCATATAAACCCCCTTACAAGGAAGCCCAATAAGGTAGGGATATCCCTAAGAAATGCTTATGCTTATGTGCTTTTTGTCTCCCTAATTCTTTAGAATGACCTTCCAGTAATGCTACATTCATGGCCTCATTAGGGCGCGCCTCCTTATAGCACTTGTTCAAGCAATCAAAATAATCAAGGACAACCTGCGCGCAAAGCCCACCATCCTGTACCCTGCAACCTTCTACAGACCTTACGGATCCTTGCAAAGAGGATCATCTTCAGTCACATGTTGAAGCTTGTCCTCCATATATCCATATATATATATATATATATAAGTCCTTTCTGATAAGTTAAACCGATCCATCCTCCTAACAAGTCCTCCATGCAAACTCCAAAAAATGCTTTCAGGCGACATACCGATCGCGCACCTGAGCTGCAAGTGTCTACGCCTTCCTCTGAGAACTTTCTGCAGATCCCAAGCCTGACAACCCAATGCCAAATTCCTGGCCAGGCTTGAATGCCCCCTGCCAGTTGGTAACCCGGAGCCCCAAACCGCATGAGTTTCGGGCTTTTCGACACACGCAAGTAGTAGGCAAGGGCTGTCACACTGCATGACAAGCTGCAAAGCATGTAAGACTTCCAGCGAGCCCCAGCAAAGCTGTGTAACTCAATAGATGAACATGTTGTATCTCTCTGTGTGTAAATGTAAGTACGTGCAGAATCGCGCACGTAAACGTATATGCATATGGCCTTGTGTACGTGTACATACGTGTATATGAATATACATACACAAATAAACAAATACATATATATATATATATATGTGTGTGTGTATATATACAAAGGCATATATGCATACATATCATGTATGTACATATGTGCATATGTGTGTGTGTGTGTGTCTTTACATATCTTTACATATATATATATATACACAGGTATGTAAACGCATAGGCTTTTGCAGCTGCATATGTATCTGTTTTGGCATGCACATGTGCATTGTGTAACTGTGCGTCTCTGCAATTATGTATGTAAATGTATATACGCACACGCATGAACACAAACACACTCGCTCTCTCTCTCTCTCTCTCTCTCTCTCTCTCTCTCTCTCTCTCTCTCTCTCTCTCTCTCTCTCTCTCTCTTCTCTCTCTCTTCTCTCTCTCTCTCTCTCTCTCTCTCTCACACACACACCTGTATGTATGTGTTTACGTGTAAATGTACGTATGCATGCAAAACAACTCGTATGTATTTATGTATGTATATGTATGTAGGAGCGCGGATGTGTATGCATGTGTGTGTGTGTGTGTGTGCATGCGGGTATGCATACATGCATGCATGTGTGTGTATGCATGTGTAAGTATGCATGTATGGACGTGTGGATGTATGTATGTATACGTGTGCATGTATGTGTACGTGCATGTATGTTTGTGTATGTAGATGTACGTGGATGCATGTATGCAAGGGCGCTTGCATGTAAGAAGTATGTTGGCCAGTAGGTATGTACGTATGTATGTATGTCGATATGCATGCATGCATGCATGCATGCATGCATGCATGCAATGGATGTATGCTTGCATGGACGCATGCATGCATGTATGATCAAGGCAGCCAAGAGTCGGAGCCAGTGTCGGTAAAGGTGCTAATAATTTTGCTCACGGCCGAGCGGACCGTACGGGTGGCCGAGGATGCCATTGGTCGAAGCTTCCGGCTTAAAGGAGTTTCAGACTTGAAGTGAGGAGGGGGATTGGGGCCTCAGCGTGTAGGATCTCGCCGCCCAAAACTTTAGAGCAAAACTCAGGGCCTCCGAGATAAGGGGTGAAGAGTTGAACTCCAATGCTCATGGCATGGCGGGGAAGGGGGGGGGTTCTCTGGTGGGTTCTTTGGGGTTCCCAGACCCTAAAGCCTATAAGCCCTTTTTGGGGTGTGAGGCTCTTAGGGTCCGAGGAACAGTTCAAAGGCCCAGTACCCCTGCATGGTTTGAGCCAAGCGCGAGACGGTGCTGGTGTGAACTCCTTCCTGAAAATGTCCGACCTGATCTGCTTCAGTCTTCGAGGGCTTCATTGTGATTTGGCATTCATGGGCGTTCAAGCTTCGGGGTAATAAGGAGCCTCCATGATTAGAGCAGATTATAGTATACTGTATACTTATGATGTGGAACACTCCGCAATAATGAATAATGAAAATGAACTAGTTGCTCCGACTTCTCTGTTTGGTCTCAAGCTTAAGGGTTGACACCTCGAACTCAAAGTGAGCAAGACATTGGGCACAGCAGCCAGCCGAGCCCGCTTGCAGCGTAGGGCTGCAGAACACTGCTGGCCAAGCAAGGGCACGAAAGATCTAATATACAGATCTTAGCTGGCAGCAACTAACTACTCAAGTCGGCTTCTTTCCCGGGATAGAGTCAAGGACTAGATAATGCATGAGCCTGTAGACAGGTCGGCGCCGATGTCTGGCAACATTTGGTAAGACTTCTAAAAATCTGCTCAAATCGTTGAAGCGCTTTTCGAACTGAGTTGAGATTGGAAGGGGCTGCTAATGCATTTTTTTCCGAGTTCTCTGGTCCATACCGAATGCTTCCACGAGCTACGGGTGTCTCTGTGGAGTTGCTTCGGAAGGTGGAATAGAAGGAAACACGAAACTCACAGGACGTAGTGGACAGCAAGTCGCCGGAACGGGTTACCTCCGCCCATAGGCTGCGCGATGAATCCCTGCCAGATCGGGGAACATGGAACCAGTAGTCCTTCACTGGCCAAGTAAGGTACCGGGCATCTGCGGCACTCCACTGAACCACTGCTTGTTCCAACAGCGAGAATCCCACGGCGTGCTTCCTGGGCTGCTGTCATATTTTATCCAACAGAGACCGAGCTTCACATGGCGGTATAGGATAATATAGGGCCTTAATAATTAGAATAGGGTTTTTGGGGCCATCATGATACTAGAATTTAAATAAGGAACCCCCCAACATACTATTGGTAATTATTTAAGCCCATATATTAGGGTCAGACCGAGCGTCAGGTACCCAGAGTCATCGCAGTCCGCCGGACGGATTTGCACCGGCACGAGGCCTTCGGGTGCGTCTGCACCAGACCACAGAATCCTCGGCTCCGAATTTACTATAGGGGCCTAAATGATTAGAACAGGGTTTCGGTGCTATATTATACTATAATGCTATGGTAACGAGCCTCCAAAATGGTATTGGTAATTGTCTAGGCCCCTAGTAGAACCTTCTGGCTTCGACTTTGTAATTATGCCTCAGGATTCATTATACAGAGGAACCAGTGTGTGAATATGTATGCAAGTTCCTCGACTTCTGTTGTCAGCAGTGGTTGCGGCCACGATGAACTGCGAAAGCTGTGTCGGTGAGGCGAAATATGAGCAAATGCCGGATGGAGAATCGGACGAACCTCCATCGAACGTGTCAACTGCCCCGTGCCCAACAAGCCTTCCCTTTCACCCCGACTGCATACACAAGGGCTGTATGTCCCAATCATTGAAGACTGAACCTCCTTAGCAAAGCCCCCGACGAGAACTCCGACCCGACTATTTTGTGGAAAAAACTGAGATAGTAGATTCTTAGTAGATTCCCCCAAATTACTGTTCATACTCTACCCAAACAGTCCAACACCTCTGACTTGATCATAATCACATAACGGGATCCGTCTTCCTCCCCGTGCCTTTTTCGCAATTAGCCCCTGGCACAAGAAAACTTCAGGCACTGGGCTTCCGGATCGTCGAAGAACCCCATACGCCCTAAACCCTAACCATTCCGTTTCTACCTACCCCGAACACTCCGTCAAATCCGCCCCTAAACCCTAAACCTTGGCAGTTTCCGAGTTTCTTCCCGTTGAGGTGGACATCCTCTGTAGGGGAAGCCCTCGCCTTGTTCCGGGGGTCCTCAGATCGGTTCCCAGGGACCCCCTTTGCAACAGGGCAAGCGGGATTGGGGTTGGGTTTAGGGTTTAGGGCTGATTTAGGATTTTGGGGGTTTAGGGCTTCGGGTTCCCTGCCAGATTGAGTTTGGAGTCTTTGGGTTGCTACACCCCCTGGCAATGTAAGCGCCGAAACCTCGACCCTCAAAATTGCAGCACTAAACGTGCAGTCCGAAACCCCTGAATTCCCAAAGGGTCCAAACTCCCTATATAGTACCCAGTAGAATGTAGGATTTCGATTATAGGAATTGCTGTTGTGATTGGGGAAGGTATCCCTCATCACAGTACCTCAGATCCGGGTGAAAGGAGGGACCCTTAATAAGGACCCCGAGGGAAAATACCCTGAATATAGCCATTATATAGCCCATCATAGGGTAGGGGTCCCCATTAAGGGTCCCTCCTTTTCCCCTTTGACTTTGGGATTCCAGAAGAAGGCCGGACTTCGCTACGTAAAGGCAGCTACCCAGAGAGCCCAATACCCCTTAATTAAGGAATATGGCCTTAATTAAGGAATATGGCTTAGATTATATAGGGGTTCATATTATGATTTAAGTTGTGTTCCTTAATTAAGGGGTATTGGGCTCTCTGGGTACTCAGGGTTCCCGCCGCAAGGCCTTCACCCCTAACCCCCAAGCCCCAAAGCACAAGTTAAAAAACCCTGGCCCTACCCATAGATCCCGTACTAGTTCCTTTTTGGGGTTCATATTTAGAATCCTAGAAGGTAATCCCGAAAAGCAACTACTATGAGGCCTATGGGTAGCCCCTCAAACCAGAAGTCCAGTCGAACAGACCACACAACCCTGACAGACTCAGCCCTCAAGCCTTATGTGACATAGCCGGCACCCAGTACATAAACCTGAATCCCTCACCCCTACTATATCCTTCACCCCAGTCCTCAGTTTCGAAGCGTGCGACCACCCAAACCCTAAACCCTTTTTGCCACTGGACTCAACCAGCCTAAACCCTGAACCCCTAAACCCTTTTTTTGCAAAAGCAGCTAAACCCTAAACCCCTAAACCCCTAAACCCTAAACCCCTAAACCCCTAAACCCTAAACCCCTAAACCCCTAAACCCTAAACCCCTAAACCATACATTTTATCAGGGCTCTGGCTTTCGGGGACGAAACTTCGGTGGGGTCTGAGAACTTCCAAGAAAACACATGGGGTAGTATTCTCAGGGAGACCCCTTAAAGGGTACCCCTTCTAAACACTACTTCTGGCTCTCTTAAGAGGGGCCTGATTGAAAGGGTCTTTATCCCCAAGGTGTCCCCCTAATCCTAACTCCCACACTGTGTGGCCTTGTGACAAGGGGTTTAAGCCTAAGCACTCGAGGTTTCGTTGCCGTGGTTGATGTTTCGGTTCCGGCGCTCACACTCGAGGATGTTGGGCTTTCAGGCTTTGAGGCTCAGAACTCACACCCTGCACCCTGAACCCGAAACCTTCTTTGGGAGACACTCTTAGCCTCGTGAGGCCAGCGCAGCTCTGCACCCTAGAAACCCCTAAAAGCCGCAATTCGAGACTCAAGGGCTGCAGATGGCCCATTGTGTGCACGATATAAAATCTTGAGCCCCCGATGCAGTGCCAGTACTCTAATTCTTCCCCTGTAGTGCTAGGGTTGAGGGTTTAGGGTGTAGGATCCCGCAGATTTTCGAAACACATCCGAGGAACCTCAGATCCACGGATGCTGAAGGCGCCGAGGAGTGTTGGGATGGCGAGCATGCCATAGCCGATCCTCAGCGCTGACGGTTTTATCTACGGTTTTGGGGTTTAGTGCCTTCCTGGACCCTCAAGAACCTACCTTTTTGGGGTTCCTAATTATGATTTCCTTATATGGGTCCTTGAAAGGGTAGGTTCTTCCGGGTTTAGGTTGGGTTCAGGGTTCAGGGCCTACAGTACGGTTTTGGTGGTGAGAGATCCCGAGCTTGGGCTGTACATACGGTTTTAGGCTTTAGTGCTTTGGGTTCCGGGTTCAGGTCTAAAGCTTTGGGGTTGAGGGTTCAGCTGTTGTCTTGGGTTTGGGTGGGGTGGTATAGGGGACTAGGGCTAGGGTGTTTAGGGGCTAGAGGGTTTGATTATAGGGTTCACAGTGCAGAATCGCTCGAAAGTTGGTTCTCGACAAACGCCGCGGGTCAGCATTGACAATGAGGCGAACATCTTGCCCAACACAGTCTGCGGGACTGCATCTCCGTAGCCCACGGTCGTGATTGTTACCGTGGCCCACCACATCCCCGCAGGAATAGATTCCTGGGTTATCAGAATGGAGGTATACGGTAAGTAATATGGCTTCCGTGTATACTGGGGCTTCCGTATATATGGTAGCTTCACTTCCCCTTAGCAGCTCATTGACGGAAGGACATAGGTTACTCATCACATACTATGTATCCCGGTAGCTCACTACCTAGGTAGCCGGAGGTTCCTCTCCAAGAGCCCAGACTTTAATGCCTTCTTTCTGCAAATAGAAAGTAAACTACATGACTTCTGTATTCTGGCAGCCCGAAACTCTAAAATCCTAAAACCTAAGCCATAAACAGTTCCTCAACCAGGGCCCAGATTCGAAGCCTTCGTGGCCATCTTCGGCGACGTACAAGCAGCTACCCAGCATCAAGACAATCACCAGAACCCCCAGCAGGAAAACCTTGGTTCCTCACCGTATGCCCTTGAAAATACAGGGTACCCTGTCTGCTATCCTTTTACAACTGGCATCTTTCATAATCACTGGGTTGATGATTACAGTCACGACTGCTTCGACGATAAATCTTACTTAGGATCCCAAAAAGGACATGCAAAAGGTTACTACTTCAGGAGATAGAGACCATGATGAACCTCGCCACGCCTTTCAAGGCGATGCAAAGCTGCCGGCACTCTGGCAGATAGTACATCAGCCTGGTGTAGGGTTTGGGGGTCCAGCTTCTTGATGACATCAAGCCACTACACAGGAAAACTTACGATTATGTGCCTAAAATGTCCGACACTAGACATCCTACACCCAAACTTCTACATAAAACCTTCAGCCCCCAATCCAACACTTCAAACCCGACGCCCATGACTTAACCCTTCAAGGAAACCCTAACTAAACCCTTTCTGAGCCCAGGCTCTGTGATATCCCCCTAAACCCCCAAACCCTGACACCCTTTTTGCTGCAGGCTTACCCCAAACCCCTAAATCCTAAAACCCTGAACCCTATAAACTTCTAAACCTCAAAACCCTACATCCTAAAACCCTAAAGCCCTATAAACCCTAAAACCCTAAACCCATGAAGTAGGCTAAGGCGCTTCAAGAGCCGCAGCATCCGAAGAGGTAGGAGCGGATGGAAAAAGTGCACGTGACCGCGTCCTTGAATATAGAAGGTACCCATAGGGGCCTTAAGAACTGGATCAAGGTCTTCGGGCCGACTACAGTAGAAGCCAAAAAGTTGGAACATCAGTAGCCTCATGCCCTTAAGGTAAAGTAAAGGGAAACCCAGCATGAATCATCCTAAATCCATGTTCCAACTTTCTGGGGTTCACTCTATACTATTTTGACAACAAAATAGCATTGGTAATACAAGGTACCCGTAGAGCTTAGGGTTTTAGGGTTTTGGGTTTCAGCACTCACTCTCGGTTCAAGGCTTGGGGTATAAGGTTTGGGGTTTAGGGGTTCCTTTTTGGTGGTTTATATATTTAGGATCCTATAAAGTGATCCCAAAAAGGAACTACCAGGGAGCCTATGGGCACTCTCACGGTTTAGGTCTCAGGGTGAAGGATTTGGGGTTTAGCAGTACCGGAAGGGTTGCAATAGAGGGATCCTGAATTTGGGCTACTGTGGCCTATTCATAATTCCCCTATTCATAATTCGAGAAGGGTTTCGGTGTATTTTCTATGCAAGGGTTTCGGGTTTGGGGTTTAAGGGGGTCCTTGAACCAGCTCTGTAAGCCGAATGATGAGAGTAGGAAGGCTCCCGGCTGCCACGACCAGATCCACGACTCCTGAGCTGGCGGAGCTTAGCCCATAAAGGTAGAGCGCACCTTATTCGGTTGTACTGGCAGGGCTTGCAACAGGGTTCTAAGGGGCTTCGGTAAATTCGGGTCTATACTTCCCTATCCCTCCAAGGACCTCATAGTTAGGGCCCTAGACCCCTTAAGGACCCCATAATGAGGTCCCTGGAGGCATAGGGCTTATTGTTGGCAAGTTCCGCGTTTAAAGCTTGGGCTTCTTTGCAGAGGTCTAAACCCTAAACTCCAAACCTCTGAGCGGGCACCATTCCAGGGCCGAAGTGACTGCAAACCGGCCCGGTGTTGCTACTCATAGGCCCTATAGTAGTTCCTTTTTGGGATCACCTTATAGGATTCTAAGTATGAATCAAAAAGGAACTACTATGGGGCCCATGGGTACTCTAAACGATACCAACCCTACAACCCGCAAAGCGTATCTGAGGAAGCCAAACGATGAACCCTGAGAAAGGCTGCACCCTTTCGAGTTTGGCTGCCCGGCTGGGGGCTCTTGCATAAACTGGAATTAGAATATATATATATATATATATAGATGTAAATATGTTCGGATGCATTGGTTCATAATTCATAATGATTCATAAGGATTCATAACGTTTGGGGTCTAGCGACGGTTTCTCTTGGGTGAACGAACTACAGCTTTGAATCGTAGGCCTTAGAGACGGCATGCACGCGAAACCCTAACCCCAAGCCCTGAACCTTCGAATGTGTAATCAAGCCCGAAGATCAAGAAAGCTGAATCGCCTGCGGATGGGGAACCAACAAGCCCACAGGGTCCTGTCTATATGACTGTACATGTATGATAGTTGCCCAAACCATAGTCATAGTAATCCGTTATAGAAGCCCTACAGTCTACTAGAAGGTACTTAGGACCCTTTTGGGAAAGGAGCAAAACTGCCCAGTATTCGCCAGGTCGCCGAGGCAAGAGAATGCATAGACCAGGGGCCGTCTTGAGGCGCAAAGCCGCAAAACATACTCGAAGACAAAGAAGGCCGAACAGATCACCTCCCGAAGCCAGTAGGGAATGAAGGAATGGGGTACAATTATAACTACTATTACTACCAGTCTTCCATTCCCTACTAACCAAAGGTAAGGAAGTTGAGGATTTCAGGGTTTCGGCGCTCACACTTGGACAATCCAGGTTAGGCATATGGTTCGGAGTCTGACACTGTGAAACGTTCGGCAGTCAAAGGATTTCAGGGTTTACGGTTTTTGGGATTTGGGCTTTTCGGTCTTCAGAGCTTTACAATTTAGGGGCAGTTTAGCGCTGCAGGGTTTTGGGTGTGAGACTTTCTGGATTTTGGCATTTTGGAAGTGACGATAAGGTTCGGCCATTACATTGGGGGTGTGGGACTTGTTTAAACCCTAAGCCCCTCAACCCTACCCCCAACTTCTGCAGGAGGGAAGCAATGTTCTCAAGCCTTGCCCTAACATGAAGTAGACTAACCCTGATCCCTCTTTTAGGGTTTCGGCTTCACGGATTGCTTCTAGTTGATTGTAAGTTTGATTTATAAATTTCCACAGCACTGAAAGCCTCGTCGGTTCCAGTGAAGTTGGGGTCTACCTAGAGTCTCCATTGTAGTTCCTTTTTTTGGTTTAACCAACTATATATTAAGGATCCTATAAGGTGACCCCAAAAAGGAACTACAATGGAGACTACAGGTAGTGTTCAGGCTGAAGCTCTGGACATTGCCACAGGAACTTGCGGATCGTTCAAAGTTGATTGATTTGAGATCCCTTTCGGGAGTTCCAGAGGCTGTTGGAAAGATCGTTTCATGAAGGATTATCCTGAAAGTGCTGCGGTCGCGCATAAACCCTCTCGTTGCTGTGCAATGTAAAGTGAGGCCACAAACCACGGCCCTGTTGCACTCTCCTTTTCTCTGCAACTGCACAGAGCAGGATATGTGTTTCACTCTAACCACCTAGGCACTTGAACCCAGAGCCGTAAATGCCCGCTGGCAGTTCAGACGACCGGTTGCCACCTCAATGCTGCCGTGCAAGGATGTGGTGGCGGCGTAGCGGGGCACAGACAAGATCACTGTCGCACTGATGCTGAAAACAACCTCGCCGGCGTGCCGCTGAAGCTGTTGTCATGCTGCGACGCATGTTTGGACTGCGTTGTACGCTGTTCACAATACCCACCTCTGTATACCGCTCAAGACACCCTTCGTTCTGACGTTGTGTGTAATGCTGTTAATACCTGTGTTTTCGGCATGTTCATAACAGACATAATTGCTTGTGAGGGCGTCCCTTCGAGAAACGTCAAATATCCTTTTGTGAATTATGTTACTATATGTTGTGTAAATCGCAAGAACGCTGCAAATACCTGTGTTGTTGGGCATGGTCGCCGCAGAAAAGGACGTTATCAGTCACCAGCCCCAGCACCACCTCCAACAGGAAGCCTACCGCCCGAACCCGAAACAAGCTACTTGCCTGCACGAGAAGCACAAAAGAAATGCACGTCCATACCTGCATGCGGCCCAGAGTACGTACACATAGGCCCCATAGTAGTTCCTTTTTGAGATTTCCTTATAGGATTCTAAAGATGAGCCCCAAAAGCAACTACTGTGGGGCTTATGGTTACGCATCTGAAGAAACACATCGCCTCACGGACCCTCGACAATACATGATGCCGGTTGACAGTCCCCAGGGGCTCCAGTTACCTAAGTAGCGGGTTATTGGCTTACATGTTATATGGCTAATAAATTGACCTACTATTGAAGTACATCGAGCCGCCAAGGACAGCGCAGCATCGAGGCTCCGACCAAACGAATAGGAGAAACTTCTGTATACTTTTCCCGCCGCACAGTACCATCGACAACCGAAGGAAGGCCCTGTCTGGCCGTCACGTAGGAACATGGGAATCCTCCTACCCCCCCCCCTAAGCCCGAAACGCTTAAGTCATCCAACGTCCACAGCTCAGCTCAAGTGCATCACACCTTGGCATGAAGGCCTGGGAGTTTAGCTTAATATCGGGGCCCACTATACGCTAATTATAGCAAAGTAAGGAGCCCTAAAACAGTATATGCTATTATTAAAGACCCTACATTATTTGGCAAGGAGCCAGCGCACAGGACACGATGTTGAGGACCATCCAAAAGCAGCGCCTTCCCACGTTCTCTTCCTCCTCGGATGTGTCGGTCTCCTCCACCTGTACCTGTGCTCTTTTGCTTTAGTGCTCCCCCTCACCGTTGACGATCCCTAGACCCCAAACCCTAAACCCCAATCCCAAACTCTAAACCCAAAAACCGCAGCGAAAGGAGCGGAAATTCGTCTTGCAGTCTGGCGACATAGCTTCTCTGGCTCCGCTGTGCCTTGTGCTGACACAACCCCACTAAGGTCTCCACGATGCTAGATAGCCTTAAACGAAATGTCCTATACTAAAAATAGGATATGAGTCTCTTCCAGAACCCTATACGGCATCATTATGTCATCATATACCGGAGAACCGTGGCATATATGATCCCGGTTCGGCGGGCCCCCCTCCCCCCCCCCAATGGTTCCGCCTCCCCCCTGTGGTGTGGTGTGGTTGTGGGGGGTTGAACAACAATGGGGGGGGGGGGGGTTGTTGTTCGAAGAACAACAGGGGGGGGGGGTTGAACAACAACGAGGGGGGGGTTGAACAACAGCGGGGGGGGCGGGGTTGTTGTGCGAAGAAACGAGGAAAGAACAACAGGGGGGGGTTGAACAACAGCGGGGGGGGGGGGGGGGTTGTTGTCCCCCTTGTTGTGACTAGTACTACTAGTACTACTGCTACTACTACTACTACTACTACTACTACTACTACTACTACTACTACTACTACTACTACTACTACTACTACTACTACTACTACTACTACTACTACTACTACTACTACTACTACTACTACTACTACTACGACGACTATGACTACCTTCAAAAGGGGAACAACAAGGGGGGAGGGGGTTATTGTTCCTTCAAAAGGGGGGGTTGCTTCCCCCTCCCTGTGGTGTGGTGTGGTGTGGTTCGGGAGTGGGTCTGCTTAGGCTGGTTACCCCACTCCCCCCTGTGGTGTGGTGTGGTTTGGGTTTCCTGCGTGGGTCTGCTTGGCGTGTGAGCCCTCGTGTGGAAAAAGCTTGCACAGTCACACACGCAGATTCGGCTTGGGGAGCTTGGGGGGGGGGGAACCATTGGGGGGGGGGGTCGGTGAACCGAGAACCGGGATCATATATTCACGGCTGAGGCAGGAGTTTGTCCAACAGCAGTATCAGACTCGATTAAGCTTCTGATATCCCTTCGGTAAGGCCTCCACCCTCCAACAGCACAGGGGAGGAAGGTGATCACTGGGGGGCCTGCTAAAGGAGCCTTGACAAAGAACACGGTTTTGTGGTATGTATACCTTGAATATTGCATATAGGGACAATCAGGGATAATGCTACTATTTACTTTGTTTCGGCCCGTTCCTTCTCCTGCAAGCGATGGGCCCTAATCCTTAATTAAACCCTGAGCGCGAAACCCCAACTCCATAAACCCGAAAACCTGAACCTTAAACCCCTAAACCCTAAACCCTTAAACCCTAAACCCCTAAACCTTAAACCCTGAACCTTAAACCCGAAAACCCAGCCCGTTTTGCATCCGGGCTCTCAAGTTCTGGCGAAACCCTTCAATGCGGCCAGAGATCTCGGAAGCTCCGGCGAAGATTCTCTGACGAGGCCGCCATGCTCTGAGTGGCCGCCACGGTCAAAAGTTACAAAAATTTCCGGGGCCACCGGCTGTCAGTTACAGAGGGGGATCATAGGTAAAATGGTTGCTACAGGCCTACATATTTACCGGGGGCAGGATTATCAATGATTCGGGCTCCTATAGTTACATCAATTACATCAACGGTTTCTGTCTGTCACAACAGCCATTGCATGTGGAACCCGCGCTGTACTATGATGCAAAACATAGTAAGAAACAGAATCAGCTATCGCTGATATTGCAGTCCCCTTGCAGCTTAGAAGGCAAGCAAAATGTTGGCGGGTTCAAACGGCATCACCAGTAGCCACGACTTCCGTGATGCGATCACGTCCTCTACTTGAACATACCTCAGGGCCCCTGCAGCATCCGGATCGTCATGCGAACTGCCAGTCTCAACTCAACCCAGCAGACGATATATGTCGAAAAGGCTCCGACAATAGTAATAGTAATAGCAATAGTAATAGTAATAGTAAACCTTAGCCTAGAAGCCTCCGGTTCCTCCGCGAATGTTGGCCCGTGCCACTTCAAGCTCGCAGGATGCTTGCTTGCAGGCCAAAGTCGCATGATCATCAAAGCATAGGGGGACGAGTAGTCCTCTAGCTGTTGCTGGTGTCCAGCTTGCAGAAATCCCTGAAGTGCAACAGCAAGCCGAGCATCACAGCTCATCAACAACAGTGGAGCTCCCTCTTGCAGTACTGCGTTCGTGTGAGCCTTGCGATTCCTGGGGTTAAGATACTTGATGCGTTTTGGCTTGCTGGAACTTGATGGCACAAGTTGGTTTTGCTGACTTTAGGTTTTCTTAGTTATCTTAGTTGAGGCTCTTCGGATTCGGGTTCCGGGTGAAGCGGTATGATAAGCCCATGGTGTCGGCCTTTCTCACGCGAAAGCAATGGGGATGGTCTCGACGTACTGCTGCTGCTGCTGCTGGAGCTACTCCTGCTCCTGCTTCTGCGTCGCTTTCTTCCACGGCTGCCTCGGGGGTGAAACGGTTTTGCAAGGGCTCATTGGGTTTTAAAGGCTTTTCGTGGAAGAGGGCATCTTCTCAACCAGTTTCTGTGGTGCCTATGCGACCCACACTTCCAGACTCGTGCTACTGCCCCTTTCAACTCTGGTTATAGATGTCGCCACACCCCGGAACCACCCGGAACCTAGAGGTCTCGAATGCTGCTCAAGCTTCCGCTTCGGCTTCGTTGCTTCTCATCGCAGTTCCTGTCGGACAAACCTGGGCATCGCCAAGCTTGGGGCGCAAGGCTCGCGATCACTCACCCACTCCCTCTCCATCTCTGTTTCCTCCGCGTCGTCTCTTTCTGCCTGTTTCTCCTTGTCTCCCTCTGTCTCTCCGTCCGTCTGGCCTCTCTCTCTCTCTCTGCATCTCTTTGTCTGTTCTTATCTATCCTTGTCTCTCTCCGTCTGTCTCACTCTCTGTCTCCCTCCCTCTCTCTTCAATGTGCCTTTGGCTTAAATCCACAGCAGACATACTCGTGGACGCATCCGGTGCAGTCTGTTGCCAAGTCAGGAATTGTAAAAAAGACAGCTGCCAGCTTCTAAGCACCGACAGGGCGACACCCCAAGCCTTCAATCCTTAACTCCGCATCCCATGGAGCTCCCCACAAAGCTTTTAAAACCTTTTTGCAGCAGGCTTCTCTCGCCCGGAACAGCTGTCGCCGCGAAGCAGTGCAGCACTCGTGGCTTTAAAAGCCCAAACCCTTAACAACAGCTCCGCGCCCCCGGAATTCGATAATCCCCTGGCACCAAACCTCCCCGGAATCCTGAGCGACAGAGCTCCTCATCTTTGCCCCACAGCTCGTAAGCCCCAGAGCAACTCCGCTCTTGTTCTTGAAGAGCTCCTCTTGCCCCACAGCCCCTAAGCCCTAGAGCAACTCCGCGGAATTTGTAAAGGGCTTTAGGGTCAAGGTAGCAGACCCGAAGAACCCGCAAGCTTCCAACCTCAGAAAGCTTCCAAGGAGCTGTTCGAATCCGGCCTCGCTTCGATGCAGTTTAAGGCTTAGGGTCTTAGGGTTTGGGGTTTACGTTTCGGGTTTCAGGCTGGAGTACCGGGTCTTGGCCATTGGGCGTTGAGTTTTCATGTTTCGGCTGGCGGAGAAAGATTGGAGCGCAGAAGGCCGCACAAAGGCGATGAAGCTCCGTTGCGGGGTTGAACCCAAGCACTAAACTCTAGCCGACTCCTTCACTGTTGCGATTTCTGGGCCCTAAACCCTAAACCCTAAACCGTTTCAGGGTTTGGAAGTAGAGTGCTACAATTCCACAAGCGAAAACTTCAGGTCTCCACGACTTGGGAGGTCTTACCAAGAGAGGCTGATGCAGAGCCTTAATGATTCGGATCGGGTTTTGGCTCCTTCATAGCATAAGTATGCGTATCATACGGAACCCTAGAAATAATCTCTGCAGTTATTGGGCTTCTGTATTAAGAGTCTGGACTTTGGGAACTGGCTTTGGGCATAGACTTCCACTCTACCACTCTTCCGTTTGAGCATCGGGCGCCCGGAAGCCGAGCAACCAATACCCAACTAGGTTTAGGCTTTACTTGGGGTTCCCCAGTAGCCCCTTAAAAACAGGGTACTATTTTTTCCTACTCTTAGGTTTTACTCGTGGCACCCAAACAAAAAAAGAAGGAACAAGGGTACCACTGCAGAACCTACCCGAAGTCACCACAAACCTGTCCACGCGAGCTGAGCCTCATCTCTAGTCAAACAAGCTGCAGAATGGCAAAAAGCTGATCGGACTCCACACGGATCAAGGCATCAGCAGCAAACACAACAAATGATGCTTTTGAACATTTCTAAGCCCGTCACCCCAAACCCCAAAAAAACAAGTTTTTGCAAACAAATTTAAGCCCGTCACCCAAACCCTGCATTTTACATCAGCCGGGCCTTGGTTCGCCAGCTGGCCCGCCAGCTGGCCCGGCCTTAGGCCGAATCGACGGCTTTATAGGGCCCCTTGCCCTACTAAGCACCAGACAGGGTTAATGAGGTTTAGAGACAAGTGTATCTGATGCAGGGCTTAGACTTGAGTGTTTTGGGGGTTTCGGAAAGGCTTGTAGGGTGTAGAAGCTAGATCTTAGTCTAGAGTAACTCAGAGCTTGCGATGGTGGCGCTCAGGGCTTCGGGTACCTGTGAATACACCTGGTATAGACAAGCTATCGGCTTGTCCTCTCGTCGTTCGGCTTTTCCAAGTCTTCAAAAGAGCTTTGCGTGATGCCTTTGCAAGGACTTCCAAAACGAAATCATAGTAAGGAATCCGGATAAGGTAGGTTATTGGGGTTCGGGACTTTGGTGCCTTCTCTGGTTCAGGAAGTCGGCTCCGGAAACGCAGGGTCAAGGAGTTTAGGGATATTTTGATACTGTTGATAATATAAATCCTGCATTACCCATAATAACGAATATACCACAATTCGCATTGTCTAGGGTCCTCAAGGTATTGCAGGATTTATATCATCCACCGTAGTTTAGGGTTAAGTTAGATAAGTGTCAAGCTCCTGATCCGCCTCCCACTCGAAGGCAAGGTCTGGGATGTTCGACTCCTTCACGCCCTGGCAAGCCGAACGTTCAGCTGAAATGTTCCAGGCTACGCCCAAAAGAGTTCAGGAAGAGTTGCAAGGCTAATCGTTGTGCTCGTCTTGGGAGAGCTTCACGCTTCAGGGTTCAGTACTACAGGACTCTAGGGGCCTTAATAATTAGACTAGGGTCTTGGGCCCCATTATACCATAATCATAATAATAAGGAGCTCCCAAGGTCGTATAGGTGGCTGTTCAAGCCCCTATAGTACTTCCGGGGTGCCTGTTGAGGGATTCGGGGGTCGGAGCCTGAGGTCCCCCCACTTGGAGGGTCGGGGGACTTAGTAACTGGTTATTTTAGGGACTTATAAGTACCATAACCCCAATTAGGGTCCCTTTTAGGGTACTTATAAGTCTACTTACTAACTACTTACTAAGTCCCCCGACCCCCCAAGCAGAGCCAGAATCCAAACAGTAGCCCAGGTGCCCGGCCTAATGCTTCCTCACTGATAGAGATTTTTCTTCGAGTTTAAAAGTTTTTTGGCGATTTGGGAGTTTCCGTAAAGTTAGGGGTACCTTATGTTGGGGGTCCTTAATAAGGATCCTACTATTTAGGGCACTATATTGGGATCTCCTATGTTCGGAAACTCCCATTTTGGCGAGCATAGGGACAGTTCCTGAAGGAGCCTTGACGCCAAAACTTCGCAAAGCTTCCCAGTGGCCTTCTGCTGGAGCAGTACGCTTCGAAAAAGCCCACGCAGCTTCGCGTAGTCCGGTTCTTCCGCATAGCCTGAGCGGGTTTCAATGTCTGTGGCTGTATATGCACCGTCGTAGTTCGCTCTCATTCTACCATCTCTTTTGCTTCGGGGCTCCGTTGGATTTGCCCGGCGCATAGCCACTATGCGGCCATGCATGTAGCATTAGAGACTCAACGACTTAACGAAGCTGATTCAAGTTACAATCGTACTGAAGCAATGCCACGTATGGCACCCTTGCATGCTCCGAGCTTGGATGTGCCTATCAGCCTATCGACTCGACTTTTAATGGTGTCTGGCACCTGTAAATGCTCATGGGATTTCGTGCACAGGCATGACTGCTTCTGCATGTCGTGTGTGTCTCTCTGTTTCTGTTCTCTTGCAAGACTAATCAAGAGAGTGGCGCTTCTACCACAAGGCGTTTAAAACGGAGCTGTGCTTGGTGTGGGCGCCGTACCGTGAAACACCTGTGTCGGTATCGGCTCGGGCTAGATATACACACCCATGGCGAGACAGTCTTCACGGTAGCCTTGTCAGTGGCATCTCTGCTTGTCTTGCTGGCCATGTTCGGCCGTTTGTGCAGTACCCATACGCCCAATAGCAGTTCCCTTTTGAGGTTCACATGTAGAGTCCTATAAGGTAATCCCAAAAAGGAACTGCTATGAGACCTATGGATAAGTTGCGGAGCCTGACGGACTCATGTGAACAGTT